GCATATCCCGGAGAGAAAAAGAGAGAACATATTGTATACTTCTCAGCCTTTTTACCTGTTGCTAGGAAGATCCTTAACAGGGAGTTTCTCTTTTACTTCGGTGCTAAATCAATGCAAATATTGCTGGAGGTAGCTCAGTTTTACTATAGCATTTTGGCAAAATGATTTTGCACATGAATAGCTAAAAAAAGGGCGCACACACGCATCTGCGACGTTTGTAAAATTGTACCCTGCTAGCGATCATACGCAAAAACTTAGCTAATTCGAAACAGATCGACCTTGTTATATCATGAAATAGAAGGCGTGATCCACACCGGTGGTGCCGACAACGTACGGTAGTGGTGCCTGAGCTCCTCCATCTTCTTTACCGTGCCATCCTTGAGGCGGTACACCCCGACGGCCCGAGCGTCGGACTCGTCAGCCCATAAATCCATGGGCTTGCCAAGCGCGGCGACCCTCGGTTCGTCGTCAGTGAAGTAGATGCAGCCAGCCTTGATATCTGAGCGCCCACTTGTTGGCACGCACAACGAGTTGTTCACCCCAACGAACAGCGCGAGGTTGCCAATGTCCCTCGTCTCCTTCCACTGCCCGTCGTCGCCGATGACATGTACCTTGAAGGAGCACGTCCACCTATACCGGCCGTACAGATCCTTGCCCTTGGTCACCTGGGCGTACTTGAGCACCACCATCAACCGCCCACCCGGCGCTATCGCGAGGTACTTGCGGTGGCACGGCGAGCCACCTTCCTCAATGGCCAGCTTTGGCGTGACAGCCGTGCTTGTGTAACCGCCTGACTCAGTGTCATGTTGCCACGCCTCCACGACGCCGGAGTAGGAGACGGAGAGGAACCAACCGTTGTAGTGGATAGCGTCTTCCACGCCGTCGTGCGACGGCTCCAGCATCCACACAGCGTCCTCCGCCGTGGCGAAGGCTGGGGCGCCGAAATCCGGGCTCAGGATCAGCATGGCCGTACCATGGCTGCCGGGGCGGCGCGGGGAGGCCAGGACAACCTTCCGGTAGAACGACGTACGCATTTCGTCGGCGGTCAACACGTGCGCCCCGTACACCAGACGCCTCGAGGGATCACTAATGAACGACGGCCCTAAGCCGAATCGGATGGCCATGAAGCGCCATATGTCCAGGATGAACCCCTCGTAGGGCGTGCGGAGGAAGACGCCCATGGTGGTGATGTCCGGGAGCGCGTGCTGCTCGCCCGTGGCGGGGTTGACGAGGTAGATCTGGCCTTGGTCGTCGGCCGTGGCGAGCCATCCGCGGGAGGAGCCGAGGACGAGGTGGTCGCGCGGGTACGGTGCACGCACCGTCGCTGCGCACCGATCGGCGAAGGAGAAGACCGTAGCGGCCGCCGGGTTCTCCTCGTTCTTGCCGGGGAGGAGGAGCCACGGGGCCGACCGGAAATAGTCGTCGCCGTCGCAGGATGCGGCGAAGACCGCGGCGAAGGCAATGCGGTCGAGGAATCCCAGGCGGTCGTGGATGTCCGCCAGCAGCTCCGGCAGGAGGCTGGGCCAGTGTCTGGGAGCGTCGGCATCAACCTTGGGGGCGATCGCTTTCCTAGCGGCGGCGGCCTTCTTTCGCCTGGCGGCGGCGCCCTTGCTTCTGCCCATTGGCACGTACTCCTACAGATCGATCGGAGGTGGGGACTGATTTGTTTTTCAGTGAAAATAAAATAAAATACACCTTTTTTGAGGGGTAATAAAATACACCTTCTACGAACAATGGTACAGCTACGGGCTTTTTTTCACAGGACTTCATCGGGGGAGGGAATGGGCCCGGGCCACCGGGTGAGATTAGCCCAACTCCAAGGCTCCAAGGCATTTCGTCTGTTCATATCCGTTTGGTACCAAGTGAACAGAAAACGCAAACGGATGGTTGTCCGCTTTCTTGTTCTATTAGACCATTTTGACCTAAATTTGATGCTGGTTTGCATAGGTGCGGACATGCAACGAACGCCCGCGTCATCGTCCCCTGACCCGCTCGTCTATGGCAGATGCAGGCGCCTTTCCCTCCCCCAAACTCTATATGGCGCCTTAAGTACCGGTTACAGTTCTCTCTGCAAACCGGCGCACACCCCTCCTCCTATTTGGGCCAGCTTATTAATCTTTTTTTTAAACTCCAAAAAATGAGCGCTTGACATGATTCAAAACTTACCTTCTGGTTTTAGTACCAAACGGATAACCAACTGGGACACCCGACCTCTTGTGCCTAGGTTGCTTTTTCTTCCTCTTTTCAATGCTAAAAATACGGAACAGTTTCCTTTTTGGTTTTTGTTTTAATTCCAGTTTTTTTGTTTGCCCGGTTGTCTTCTAATTTTTATTTTCCTACTTCTATTTTTTTCATTTCTCTTTTCCTTTTCAAGATTTGTGAATTTTTCAAATAGATGAGCCTTTTTTAAAATTGATGAAGCTTTTCTCAAATTCATGAGCTTTTTTCAAAATTGATGAACTTTTATTTCAAAATCCATGAATGTTTTTCAAGTTTGCAACTTTCACAGAATGATGAACTTTTTTTCAAATTCAATGAACTTTTTTGAAATTATGACTTCATTTATAAATTCTTGACTTTTTCAAATTCTTGAACTTTTTCAGATTTTGGTTATTTTTCTGATTTTTTCCAATCTTTCCTATTCCCAATTATTACCTTTTTCTTGTTTTAAATTTTTATTTTCTTTTCACATTTTAATCATGAACCATAAATTTTCTAAAAATAAAGTTCATTAACATTTTAAAAATATGAGAACGTTTTTAAAGTCTGTGTTAAATTGTGAACCTTTTTTTCAAATGCGCAAACAATGTTTGAGATGCACAAATATTTCTTAAATTCATGGACATTTGTAAAAGTACATTAACATCTTTTGATTAAAAAATCATAAATAAGAAAAATTATAGCTAGTTTTTTCTTGAGCTTGACTGGAGCAAGTGAAAAAAAACTAAGAGAGCGAATGGGGTAGGAAGCCAAGCTGAGCGAGCGAGAGCTTCGTGGGCCACCTAGTATAGAAGCAATTTCAAGGTTTCAGTGTGAAATAGAAGCTCTGAGTGGGTTCAAACAACCACGACGAGCGGTCAAAACGTGTAAAGGACACCACAATCATGCAACGAACAACTCCACTCTCCTCTCAGAATAAATATCGTCTCCAACACCAACATGCCAACATGATATATGTACGAAAAGAACATCATTAAAACGCAAGCTAGCGCAAATAAAACCTAAAAAAACAACCGCGGTAATCTGCTAAAGAAAAAGAGAGTTAATCCCATGAGTGAAAACGACACGGGCGAAGCGTGCGTTAGCCTCTATATATGGTATCCTCTATTCCTAAAAAGTAGCATCCCATTCTGGATTTTTCTTACATTTTTTTGATGCCATGTCATCACTCCCACGGTTTTCCATCCCACCACTCGCTAACGAATATTTTCTTCCAAACGAATACCATCCCGTCGCTTCCAATCTTCTCCATGCTAGCATATGATTTTATTGTGTTTGATTATTGCATAGTTCCAAAATATTAATTAAATATAAATAATATAATAGAATGGAAGCCCTCATATATGTTTGCATGTATTTAGGACATGCATGTTTTCATGTTGAGGTGGGGCTTTTTCCATGTATGTTGCATAATGAAGTGGTGTCCTTGCTTGTTGAGAGAAATATGTTAGTAGGGGTTAGCTATTTAGATATACTTCATCCATCCAGGTTTATTAGGCCCCCTCTTATTTTGGGCTAAAATTTGACCTGAAAATTTAACTAACAAAATATAAACTATATGTAACTAAAAATATATTGTCGAAAAGCTCTTTCAAATACAAATTCAGTAGTATAATTTTTCTAGCATATACTTTATATTTTGGTAGTCTATAGATGGTCAAAGTTTGGCCCAAAATACGAGGGGTCCCAATAAACCTAGACTGAGGGAGTAGAAGATATGAATGAGCCAAGAAGCACCCATCTATTATAGCTTCACTAATTTCCGAATACTGTCTTTTTCATACAGTTCAGCCTCTCATGAGCTCACCTTGATTAATTTTGGTAGCTCGAAGCGGCACTAGCTCAGTGGTGGCAACATTAAACTCCCGGCAACCAGTGGCGGAGGCAG